AAAAAGAAGTACAGCCAGAATGCTCCTTAGAAGCAAGGATGGCAAGACTTTGTCTCACATACTTTGGACATGTTATCAGGAGAGATCAGTCCCTGGAGAAGGACATCATGCTTGGTAAAGTAGAGGGTCTTCGAAAAAAAGTTCCTCAACGAGATGGACTGACAAACGGTGGCCGCAACAACAGGCTCAGGCATGACGATTGTGAGGATGGCACAGGACCAGGCAGTGTTTCCTTCCGTTGTGCATTGGGTCACTATGAGTTGGAATAGACTCCATGGCACCTAACAACAACAACAAAATTGCCATTGGAGAAGGAAGGAAGCTTAGAAACTTGGTAGCAATATTACAGCAGCACCCTATCTAGGCAAAGCCAGACTAAAAGTATCTTGTTTGACCACTGACTTCTGTTAAAACAGGCATATATTTAACATTGCAAAATGTGCGTGACAGCGACCACAGAAGCAAGTAAGCAAGAGAGATTATTGTTCCTGCTCTATAATCTTAAACTTAAAAAAAAATCAACATCTAAAATGTCAAATAAAGTTGGAATAATAATTTTTAATAAAAAATTCTGATTTATTTTTGTATGCTAGAATTTCAAACTACGATGGTGATATCTAGCTCTGTTAATGAGTTCTCATAAATATTGATTTTAATACACAATCAGTTGGAATTTAGTCAAAATGTGTGTTTGGTGCACCTTTAATGCTCAGTCGAGCTTACCCACTGCCATCAATTCTGACTCATAGCGACCCTATAGGACAGAGTAGAACTGCCCCACAGGGTTTCCAAGGCTGTAATCTTTGCAGAAGCAGACTGCCACATCTTTCTCCCGCCAGTCAGGCTTAGGAGCCACATGTTTACTGAATATTTATGTGCGCCAGGTCCTGGCTAACCTGGCCAAAGAAAAACAAACATCCACACAGGGATACAAGACTATTAATGATGTTACCTGGCCTAGAACTTGTTTTTGATATTCACTCACTCTTTCTTGCATGAGCAACAGCATTTTGTAATTCTAAACATTAAAACATTTTAAATTCTGAAGATGAATAATTAGGGTGAGAGGGAGTGCTTAACACAATTGTATATTAGAATACATTGTGAAATAGTGAAATACAGATATAGAATAGCTCAGGGTCCAGAAATTGATCAAGTATATTTAGCATTAGGTATATGATAAAGATGGCATTTCAAATCTGTGGGAGAAATATGGATTATTGTTTGCAAGCATTATAAATAGCTAGGCATTGAAGAGAAAACAAACACCCCTGAATTTCAATCTTATTCCATCTACTCTCAAATCCAGTCTAGATATCATAATTTTCAATGTAAAAATGAAATCATAACATTGCTAGAAGTTTTATAGTTTGTGAAAATTCAGTGAGCTGTACACTTATGACATATACTTTTGTGATTACATATTATTCAATAAAATATTTAAAACTACAGGTAATTTATTTTTGTAATTTGGGAGGAGAAAAGGTCTTTTAACTGTAACATAAAACTCAACAACCATTTTAAAAAAGGATAAGTTTAACAACATGTAGTTTTAAACTTCCTGAATGGCAGAAAAACACTGTGAAAAGTCAAACATCAAACTGGGAAAACGTATTTGTCACACTTTGACAAACTGTATCAAGCAGGGTGCAACCAGGAAAAGAAACCTGTTACCATGGGGATTCCAACACATGGTGACTCCCTGTGCCAAAAATGGTTTGCACTAGGCTCTAACCAAAAGGTTGGCAGTTTGAACCCACCCAGTGGTACCATGGAAGAAAGGCCTGGCAATCTGCTTCCATAAAGATTACAGCCAAAAAAAAAAAAACCCTAGGGAGCAGTTTTACTCTATAACACATAGGGTCCCCATGAGGAAAAGAAAGACCACTCTAAATATTTGAAACAGAGAGAATCTAATAGAGAAATTGTTTTCCTAGGTGATGGAAGAGCTGAAATCCCAAAGAGGCACCTCAGAAATTATCAAGAGCAGAAAGTCACTTTGCCCCTCAGCTGGAGGATCCAGGGGCCAGGGTAACTGAGTTGAAGCCAAAGCCACACGGATCGCTCTGGTGGGAGCAGAATACACACAGAAGACACAGTGGCTGCTGAATATGATGCTTAAAGTAGGGAGTAAGAGTGGCATGGAAATGTCCTGGCATCTCCTGTCCTGTGACCTCTGTATTAGTTTCCTATTGCTGCTGTAATAAATTACCACAACTCTTATTATCTTGTAGTTCTGGAGGTCACAGATCTGAAAATGGTCTCACTAGGCTAAAATCAAGGGGTAGACTTGGCTGCATTTCTTACTAGAGGCTCTTGGGGAGAATGCTTCCTCGGCTTTTCCAGCTTCTAGAGGCTGCTTGCATTTCTTGGGTTGTGGCCCCTTGATCCATCTCCAAGGTCAGCACTTGTAGGTTGAGTCCTTCTCAAGGTCCCATCTTTCAGGTTCTCTTGCTTCTGTCTCCCTTTTCCACTTTTAAGGACCCTTGTAATTACATTGGGCCCACCTGGATAATCCAGGAAAATCTCCCTTTTTTAAGGTCAGCTGATTGGCAATTCTATTGGCAACTCAATTCCCCTTTGCCATGTAAGGTAACATCTTCACAGGTTCTGAGGATTAGGACAGAGGCATCTTTAAAGGGGTCAATATTTTGCCTCCTACACTCTCCCGTCTCCCACCAATGCCTCTCATAAGCCCTTATGTAGCTGGAAGCCTGCTGATAGGGAACCCTGGGAAAGCAGTCTGCGTTGGCCAACTCCCCATCCCTACCCCCACACACATCTGGGGGAAAGGGAGAATGGGCCTGAGAGCAAATGGGCACCCGGAAAAATGACTAACATCCCTAGAAGAAAGAGTTCTT